AAATTTGAAATGTTGTTAATATGATTATGATATATAGTTATAATATTTGTTTTAAATAAATTGAGATGCCTGATGAGAGAATGCATAAGCCATAGTCCTTTCCCTTTTAGCTGCAGCTGCTTCTCTCTCTTTTATCCTCTTCACAATCTCTTCCATGGTCTCAGGTCCACCACTCCATTCCACCTGTTTTAATTTTCTCACATAAAATTTTATTTACTAAATAAATAAATAAATCCAGATTTAAAACACAAAACTTCGGTTCGGTATAATTTTTCATGATATTCATCTAAAGAAGAATGAATTTTTTCAAAAAATGTTGAAATTAGTGTATCATTTTTCTTAAACATTCCAATTTAGTGGAGTAAAAATGAACTTTGAAAGACCTCAAGTTCATGGAGCTTGGCATCAAGTTTGAGCTGATTTTCGAGCTTTTTCTGCCTATTTCGGCTATCGAGAACCATTCCAAGCCACCGAGCTTTGATCTCGGCTTGAACTCTGCTCCATAAATGGATGTGATTTAGAGCTGAAGCTGCCTGGTTTTTCACAGAGTGGCCTTCTTCTAAAGCTCCACGAAACTTAACGATTCCTTTCAACCGGCGTAGACCTTTTCTTGCCTGTGATATTTAATTAAAAGCTCCAAATATTAGCTGTTTTGTCTCAAAAAAAATTTGTTTGGCAGACATTAGCTTCAGCAAATTATATAATTTTTTTAACACTAGAATTGCTCGAGGATAATTAATTAAAGAGGTTTAGGTTAGTAGCATGGATCATTTTGATTTGATTTAATTAATATAGGTTTATCACAGATTTTGCCTGTAATTGATAGTATACAAACAACTTATTAGTTACAGACAATGTTCTAGAAAGCGCTAGACGAACGACTATGGCATACCGTAAGGTCTTTAGGCGGAGATTGGATGGGGTTTAGATGGGGTCGTAAATAAATTAATAAATTTATTTATATTTATCATCATACATAATTTGGAAGATATATAATAAAGCAAACAATTTCGCGACAAACCATTTAATTTGTAGTTGGAATTCTAAGAGAAATCTCATTCCAACATAATATTGCTTTTATGTTGAATATTTTCAAAAACATTTGTTGATAATTTCTGTTGAAATAATTTAACCATTGGATTTTCCATTGTAATGTAATATTTTTATTGTAGAGGTTATATTTAGATAATCTAAAATCATTAAGACAGATTCGGTTAAAATACAGTTTGATAATCTCCAATTACAATATATATGAAATGTGGTGTGACATAAGATTAAAGATCGAAATATTATCATCAAAATATAGTTATAGTATACTCTTTAACAGATATTAATTAATTAAGTTCCATAAGATTTTCTCAATAAACTAAAACTGGTCTAGCAACTCACCTTATATGCCCTATAGGCACATTGAATTTTGGTAGCTGCAACATCTTGTGTTAGATGCCTTAGTTTTGCATTCTTTTTTGAGGTCCCATAAATGCCAAGAAATGTACCATCTTTCTTGGATATTTGATTTTTCTGCATCAAAATTTAAGTAAAGCAATTTGTATATATAACATATCTCTGTAAATTGAACTGCAAATTAGACATAGAATTAGCTAGACATCAACTTGTTTGTGTTTGTTTTGCTTTGATCTCTTTAGGCTTATTATGGTCTTCAACCAATCGCCCGAGCCCATGTTGTGTTGCTTGTGATCAAACTATATTTGCATCTGCAATCATTAATTAATCTAGCATAATATAAGGTTTATTTTACAATTAAATATGATCCTACTATATATTCAAATTCATCCGTGACATAATTTTGATCAAAGAGCAGTTACACATGATGCTATATTTGTACACGTGTTGTTAATCAAATGAAAGAAAGCAGAGAATGGAAATTGGAAATTCAATTAATAAATAAGTAAGAAGAAATTTAAGGGCAAACAAAACTACAACTAAATGGCATTGCTTTAAAATGTAAGATGAGATTATTGAAGGATTTTTTACCTGATTAGGGGTGATTACTGATTAGCAAGAACTACTAACTTATAACCCAACATGCATATACAAATAAAAGGGTTAGCAATGAAAGTGTTGTGGGTGAGTGTGGAATAAGTACCAAGAAATTGAAGAGCAAAAAAATAAGGGCCAATTAATATAATAATAAATATGTACCATATTTGAGAGGAACGTTGGAACTAGCTTGCACGTTTTATAATTAAATTGCAACTGCAAAATTGACAAAGCAACTGAAAGAGAGTAAGATAGTTGAGCTTGACAAAGAGTGTAATCTAAGTATGATAAATTCCGTGTGAGATATTATGAATGATCGTAGTGTTTGTGGAAACGGTTAGAAATATCGTATTTGGACAACATTTGTAACTCAAATGTGTTTGTAGTCGTCATAATATAATTCAATTAAAGTGATTTATAAAGTTTGTTATTTTGAATAAATAGAGTATGAAATTGTTATAAATCTGAAAGTGTGATAATAACATCATGAGATTGTATGTTTGTTGAAGAACCAAATTGAAAAATCAACAAGTATTATTTAGTTAGTTATGGCCCAAATGACGAAAATGTAAGAGCATAGTTCTGAAAAGTTTTTTCTCCCTTAAAAAATACCACCGAATTTCAGAATGATATGTAAAAATTATTGAATACAAAAAATAAAATTATTATGTGCGTTTAATCATTTAGAAGTACATATTCATACAAAGAAATGAAGAACAAAGAATTATTAAGTCATGGTTCATCAATGAAGAACAAATGCTTTTATTTGTTGGTTCTTACCTTCAGAATTGGATTATTTTATTTTTTTTTTTTAAAAAAAAAAAAGAATATATCAACAACGTAAATGAAATGAAAAGGATTAATACATAAAAGGTTGAAAAAAGAAAAAGAAAAACGTTGTTTTATGGGCATAATTCTGCAATGAAAAATTTTAAATAACTAAACTAATAAATGACGACATATAAAATCTGGTCCCGGCGGGGCTCGAACCCGCGACCTTCGGCTCATAAGACCAACGCTCTAACCAACTGAGCTACGGGACCTTGATAACAATAATTTTTGTGACAATCAATAAATTATTCTTATTTAAACAACAACACCGCGCGTATCTTTTGGACAAAACCTAAAAATTTAATCGAATATAAGAGCTCAATAAATATTTCAAATGAACATCCTTTTTCGCTTGAATTCGTATAAATTCTCTTTTGCATTACCAGAATTGAAAAATATTTGCCACACGATATTCGAAATACACTTATGAGACCTGAAAAATATCGCTTAATACCAACTAAATCAACCAAAGGCCGGAAAATGATTGATTATCACTACAATCCGTCGCAAGAGCCAATATTCACCCGACCAACGTGAAAAATTATACTTAAAAAAAAAAAGAAAAGAAAAAAACACGCATGGAACCTTCCAAATTCTGGTTCCTCATTTTAGACTATCCTTATCTCCAACTCAACTCAACCCAACCTAATAATTAAAAATTATTTTTCTCTCCTCCACCTACACAACTCAACCTTACAACTTAATTTATCTTTATCCCCAACCCAACTCAACCTAAATATATATTTTGTTTTAATTTATTTAAAAATTGCAATTTTATTCCAAAATATATCAAGTGTGGTCTCTATTTGTAGGAAATGAAAATATACGAATTTTAATATTATTTTTATTTTTTTAAAACAAAAAAATACACTTATCCAACCAAAATAGGACAAATGTCCCATTCTCCAAACACTACACAGGTCGCGACCCAAGATCACAACACAATGTGACCTAGGTCGCTCATTTTTCGTGACCTTCCTTGTTTTTCTTTTTTTTTAATATTTTTTTTTGTAATTGGTGACCCAACTCATGGGGTCAACGTTAAAGATGGTCTTATGGCCGATTGACCCGGCGGGCTGGGGTCCCAATCCAGCGGGTCGAGCCCATCATTCACATCTAATTATATTCAGGATTTTGCTAAAGTTCTCATAAAATTAGTTGGTCGTATTTTATATTGGAAAAAAAACTTTTACCCATCTGAATTATCACGATTTTGGCGCATTACCATATAAACTTTTTTTCTTAACAAACCACCATCTGAACTATACGGGTTTGTCACTTTGCCATCTGAAACCAGAATTAAAGTTGTTTTTGTCAAAAAAAAGCTTGTTTGTAAGGGTATTTTAGGAATTGCATATGTTGTTATAAAAAAAAAATGAACGACTGGAACTTGGACCTGGGAAACTATACTCGTGCACCCTCCAATATCCTACACAACCGGTTGATGAGAACTCATCCGGTAACCTTGACGGTGTTGAAGAACTCGAAGAACACCGACCGACGTAGTGGCCGCTTCCAGGAAGCTCATCGGGGTCGTCACCTGAGATGGACTCGGAGAAGGCACACTTGAGGATCGATTTAGGTGCTGCAGGAGATACCACAGAAAGAGACGGCAACTGTGAGACTCGCTTGTCTCTGGAGAGCACGTTGGCACTATCGGAGAAATGGATGAAGAGTGAGAGCGCGACGAAGGATGTGACGGAGATGCTTGCTGGACGGAGAATGTGCCGACATCGGAGAGTAGATGGCCGAGATCGTGGACGGTGCTGGGGAAGGCATGCCAAGGGACTGTGCACTGTCGGAATATTGGTGTACGGATAAGAGCAGAAAAACAACGCCAAATGATTTGTTCATTTTTTGAGGATCAAGATTTTTGGGAAGATATTTCGTCGAGTGAGCTGTCTTTGTAAAGAAAAATTATTAAATGAAAAGAAAAATGCGAAACAGAAATGTAGAATAAATGCTTTTAATCCTCGATTGATATTTTAGTTGAGGCATTAAGGAATTATTACATAACCAGTCGAGAACAATATTCGAGTGAGCCTTTTGAAATATATAGGTCTTGTTTTCTTGTGATTTTTTTTTTTTTTTTTTTTGNTGTGAGTATGAGTTATTGTGTGTATTCACGATATGTTGCCATCATATTTGATTGTATTGTTGTCGTGTTGAGACGTGAAATTCTCAGGTTCGAGTCCGTGTTTCGTGTTTGCTTTCTGGGTAAACATGGGAGTTGCATGTCTTGTACTTGGCTAAGCACTAGCCATTGCACATTGTTTTTTTACGTACACAAAGGTGGTTTTTTATGGACTTCGTTTTCTTCATTAGCTTGCCATTGCACATTAATATTACTTAAACATGGACTTTGTTCCTTCATTAGCTTCTCATTTTCGCAGTAAGTCTTGCATTGGTGTGATTTATAGATGCAGAATTGAAGGCATCTGGTTATTATACAGGTTGTTTTAAGCTTGAACATTTATCTTAAAATAATAAATGAAACAATAATAATATACAGTTGAGGAGTTGTTGGGTCTTTCTCTTCTGGAGTTAATAAGAGATATGAAAAAAAAATGTAATCATTATACAATTATTTGACCGACTGTGTCGGCGGCTCCGGCGACATAGCCGATCACGTTTCCGAAGAAGGCAAATAGTCTCGAGCATGACGGAGACATTTTTTCTGTACGAGACGTCGATAAGGAGGCCCGGGATGGGCCTTGGATGAAGGTGTGGGAGATGTCGGGCATGCAAAAGCTGGCCAAGAAAACGGCGGTGACAACAACCAGGCCCGGAGACGTCGGCGGTGAAGGCGATGAAGATTGCAGATGGAGAGGGAGGCACGTTTGTTGGTTGGCGACATGTGTTTCATTTTATTTTATTTTTTCTTAAAAAATATACACATTTTCAAAAATGTCCTTAAAAATCAACTTTTTTTGGTCAAAACTACTTTATATCCGGTTTAGAAGGCAAGATGAAAAAAACGTGAAGTTCGTATAGTGGTTTGTCAAAAAATATAGTTGATATGGTAAGTTGCAAAAATCACGATAATTCGGATGGAAAAAAGTAATTTACCCTTTTATATATTTTCACTTTGCCTCGTATACGTGTTGGTTGGATCAAAAAGTTCTATCCTGGGCATAGATATGTGTATTAACAGGAAAAAACAACATACATTAATACAGAAATTCTATGGTGCCCATATGGGCACCATATGATGCCATAAATCTCACGATCCAACGCCTAATATCCATTCTATCAATTCCACAATGGATATTAAGCGTTGGATCGTGAAATTATGGCACCATATGGTGCCCATATGGGCACCATAGAATTTCTGCTTGTATTTAAATAAACTTCGTTTGGTAGGACGAACTTATTTAAAAAGCTCGAGCTTATCTCATAAGCTTATTTGAGTAGCTTTTTCAAATTTTTATTTCAGCTAACTTTACCAAACACTTTTATTATATAAGCTACATTTTCAGCTATAAGTGATAAGCTTAAAAATTATTAATAAGCTATAAGCTAGCTTATCAGGTAGTTTTACCAAACATGGTCTTAATCACTTACAAATGTAAATAATATATCATTATTTAACAAGTGGGTAAGTAAATGGTGAGTAGATTAGTGAGCAATGTAATAATCTCAATTAAAAAGCCGGAACAATAATTTTAGAATTCTAAATTCGTTGAAAGCTCCACTCTTCTGTCTATCCATAATAGTGTTTCATTAGATAATTGTTTGCGGGCATAGTATATAACTAGTGTGTAGCCCGTGCTATTCACGGGTAAATAATACTAATAATAATTATACACTAAAGATGAGGATAAACAATATTAACTATAATTATAAATTAAATATGTGGGGTTACATGTGATAAAATTTACGGTATATAATCTATTGTAACAATATAAAATTATCTTGTATAAAGAACATAAAAAAGTTTATGTCTAAAATATTAAAATTGAGAGAAGATTTACATATTATATACCGAAAATTATTTCGTCATCAATTTGAGTATAAAATAAACGGAGGCTTAATAACTCCATGCTTTATGCATATGCTTCATTTATCAATTTTATATAATAAATTTAAAATCTCATTATTAAAATTTTTATTCAAATGTATAAAATAAACTGATGCTTAACAATTCCATGCTGCATACACTTCATTTATCAATTTTATGTAATTATTTTAAAACTTCGTTGTTATTAAGATTTTTAGTCAAACGTGTATTAACAAAATACACATTTTTGGGATTTGTGATGAAATACGAATAAATAATTTCTTTATAAAAGAAATTAGTATTTATTTATTTTTAAAATCAATGCAAACTCATAGAGAGTTTTTGTTCTTAACAAACTCATAGAGAGTTCTAATTAAATCATATTATTCCAACTTGAATTTCATGATGGTTTTAACTTTTAAAATCTATACACGTGGTCATAATCTATATCAAGTAAACAATCACCATAATTTTAGAAATCAGTATTTATCAGTTTTTGAAAATCAATGCAAATTGCTTGATAGTTTTTTTTTCTAAGTACTCCTACAGTTCTAATTAAATTATATTATTCAATTCAATTTGAGTACGAATTTAAAGTTTCAATTTGAAAATGAATTTAAAAATCTGTACACGTCTTGATAGTCTTTCAAGTAAACATAGTCCCATTTTTTTCTGTTATTAAGTTTTTGATTCCAACAAATGATGTGGTGAAGATTTATTAAGTGAGTACCTATGATGTATGGATTAATATCCAATGTTGTAGCATACTCTTTTTTTAATTGTATAAATATAATTTTGTTTTTTTTTTTTCTGTTTGCATGGACGGTATTTATAATTAGTACAAGTTAATTAAATGAAGTTCATTTTTTAATAAAATTCATTCATGTTTTTCTTTTTTTTTACTAAAATGAATGATGCAAACTCGTACCATTTTAAATTCTCCACAATTTGAATAAGAACTCCTTAACTTTTGAATACTGCTAAATTTCATGTCTATCATTATTTATGCGGACAATTTTGTAGGAAAGTTATTAGGAAATTGTTAACATTTGAATTTGAATTAAAGATTTGCATGAAAATTATTAGGAAATTGTTAACAATTGAATTTGAATTAAAGATTTTTTTTTTCTTTTTTCCCTATAAGTTTGTTAAAGCAACCATATCTATACTTATATAATAAGAATTACTATTTACCAAAAATAGTAAGTAAAAAAATGTAGCAACATTAATTACATACTATTTCGGGCAAGTTTTGTTTTTATCTTTTATTTATTAAATGAGAAACATTTAAATATGCCTTCAATCACGGATACTAAGTTTTGATAACCAAATTGCTCAATTTTGGTACAAATAAAGCTTTTAAAAATTTGAGTTTTATTTTAATACCAATCCTTTTTAAAATTAATTGATATCAACATTCACTAATTTGGGCAAAAAAAACTTGCAAGTTCATAACCCATAATAATTGTGTGCAATTCATCAAAATCAATGATATCACATAATTATGATTTGTATGTTTTCAGTCGTGTCGAGTTTTTAAAGAAAAAAATTATTTGGATGCCAAAAAATTTTGTGTAATAAAATAAACTTGCCGATCAAAAAAATAAAAAATCAACCGACACACATTCAAATTCTAAGAGTTCTTTTGACTAATCGTAAACACCCAAAAAATTCAAACATAAAGGTAAAAAAATCGAACATAAAAACCTTAAAAATAAAAATTCCACATTTATTTTTTGGGCTAAACAACTAAGATCAACAAAATCTACCGGCGCACACTCAAATTCGAAAGATTCTTTTGATTAATTGTAAAAACCAAAAAATTCGAACATGAAACTAGAAAAATCAAAAATAAAAACTCTCAAATTGAACAAACCATATTTGTTTCGTGCAAAACACCTAAAACTAACTAAATGAAAACTAAAAAAAAAATATGTATTTATAAGACCCTCAGTGTTAAAACGGTAAAGTTGGAAGAAGATAGATGAAAAAAGACGAAAGAAGAAGCTGGAAGCGGCGAAAAATAAAGGAAGAAATGTAGCCCTTGGTCCGATAATTTCACTATTTATACTATGTTCAGTCTAATATAACCCGATTTGCGTTGAGTAATCTGGATCATTAGATTATTTTTTCTGTTTTGTTTGGGCCGATATGAACTTTTGAAGCCAACATTGTAAATTCGGCCAATATGAACTTTTTGAAGCCCACATTTTTCAAAAACATTCATATTTTACAAGCCCAACATGATTAATATAAATAATTACACGTATCTTATAATAAGTATTTGTTAGGTTTAATTATAATCAGTGATCCGTGCTTTATTATATAATTTAAATTTAAATACAAAATTATGTTTTAAAAAGGACGGAAATAATAAAGCCTCGTGCATCGCACGGGTACTGTACTAGTTTTATTTAAACTTCTATCCATTCCTTATTTAGAAATTTTGAAATTTGTTTTGCTTGCTATATTTAGTAAATAGTAATTCTTTTTATATAAGTATAGATGTGGAGTTATAAATAGAAGGGTTTTCTTTTAAAACCTACCAAAACTATATTTGATTCTGAGCATCTCCAATAACACAATGTCTATTTTGATATGTATGGTATGGGGAAAGAAAATGAAAATATTTTGTCTCCAATAGTTAATGTCAATTATGAAATAATTTGATACATGTAAGATAATAATTGGTTGGTGGAAAGAGAAACATAAAATAAATAATATAATATAGAATAGAAGTTGTCTAAAAGTCTTTCTGTATCTAGAAAGACTTTTACATATTTTAAATGACACATTGGATGTGTGAGGCTACATGACAATGGAATTGAGTAATCCATAGATCACTGGAAATGTTCTAACTACTTCTCTGACCACATGACAATGGAATTGAGTAATCCATAGATCACTGGAAATGTTCTAACTACTTCTCTGACCACATTCTATGTATATAAAAGGAGGGATTTTATTTCACCTCTTAATATTATTAATAATAAGAACGAAAAAAATATATATATTATATCAATTAGTTATTACTTGTAGTCCTCCACTAAATAATTGTAACAAAATTAAATCTTTCGGATAATGATATTTTAATTTAATACGACTATACTCTTTCTTAGGGATAGAACTAAAAACTTCGCCTATTATGAGAGCTTCTATATCTATTCTGAGAGCTTCTATATCCTTTCTTAAGGAAAGATAACAAATTTTATTGGTTGGAGAAAAATATAAAAAAACTTAAGAATATATCCTTTCTTAAGGAAAGATAAGGAATTTTATTTTTATAGGAAATAATGTTTTTATTCGAATAGTAAATACTTGTATATAAAATAATAAAAATGAAATATTACTAACTAAAGAATATCAATATAATCAAATATAAAGATTACATAGATACATAGTATTCATAAGTTATTGTATTGATTACANATTATTGATTATTGTACTTTTAGCTAACTTACATAACATTGTGATGGAGCTGAGATACCGTCTAGCGATATGGAGACGAGATATCGTCTAGCATCATTGATTTAGGATATATATTTTTCATTTACTTTTAGTATTATTCTTTTTATGTTTAGCTAACTTACATAACATTGTGATGGAGACGAGATATCGTCTAGCATCATTGATATAGAGACGAGATATAGTCTAGCATCATTGATTTAGGATATATTTTTATTTTCATTTACTTTTAGTATTATTTTTTTATGTTTAGTATTTAATTGGTAAGAGAATAATTATTTATTAGCTTGTTTAATATAGGATATATATTAACTTCCATTTACTTTTAGTATTATTCTTTTTCATGTTCAGTATTTAATTGGTAAGAGAAAAATTATTTATTAGCTTGCTTAATAGACAAGTTGTTATTAGGGTTGTAAGAACCTTATTTAAAGGACTTATTCTCTTGGATGTAGGCAACTGATTATTGAAATAAAATACATCGTTTGAGATTTAAATCTCTTTTATCTTCTCCCATGGTTCGGGACAACCAAACGAACCGCGACGACATGGCTAGGGGCCGAGGAAGGTTGCGGGGATTTCAGAGGTGGGCTTGGCAGACGAGGCTTTGGTGGGGCGCTCCGCCAGCAGAAGACGGCATAAGTTCCTGGTCCGACATCAACCCGTTTGGTGGTCGTCCAGCCCGACAGGATGCCGATGAGTTCGGCGATGGCCGCTATCGCAAGCAGTGGCGACCAGACATGGACTTCGAGGACGTCGAGGGTTGTGCGGTGCATCGTTGGGTTGAGGGTTGCGGAGACTACCAGGTTCGCCATGCGCGACATTGGGATGAGGGTTTCGCCGGCTTCAAGGGTTGAGAGGTGCGATGCAAAGACGAAGACTTCGACGAGTTCGGTGGCCGCAATTTGTGTCAGGGTGATATGGGTTTCGGGAGGCCAACAGTGTCGGTTGGGACGACGTTCGGCGGTGCGGGCTCGTGGTTCAGGGGGTCACGAGCATTGTTCACCGAGGAAGTCGACGACTCCGACGCAGACGGTCTCTACGACGGTCCGCCGATTTTAGATGAGGAGGCCTGCGGGAGATGGAGGAACATCTTTGCAGGGACATGGGCCCCGCCCTCGTCATCCATTGTTCATGTTTGTTGCCACGTGTGTTGTGGAACGTAACGAAGGATGTTCAATGGTCGTATTTCAGAAAAGAATTTGCTGTAGTTTATGGATTTATGCTTGCCCTGGCGACGATATTTGATAAGAAGTCTAATCCTTTACAAGAGCTTGGGACGGGCCCATGCAATACAATTGGGGGGAATTCGAGAGGGAGATTTACATGTTTGGCAGGCTTTGGGATGTTACCCAGTGACATGGCTTTCTGGGATTAAATTAGGACAAATAAAAGTTGAACTATTAGTGTCAAATGAATGGTCACCAGATATACGATATCTTCTTACTGCCACAGCAGGTCGACAATGGGATCGTAATATCTTTCCACAATAGCTCAACTATAATAGATCTATTTAACGGTAGCCGATCATGGGTGTGGTCTCGCCGTTTGAAGACGAGATTATACCTGGTTCGAGTGAGAATCCTTTTCGACAGAGGAAGAATGATGGAGACGACATGTCGTCTAGCATCATTGATTTAGGAAAAAAAATTATTTCCATTTAACTTTATTGTTATTCCTTTTATGTTTAGTATTTAATTGGTAAGAGAATAATTATTTATTAGCTTGCTTAGTGGACAAGTTATTATTAGAGTTGTAGGCAGTGAAGGACCTACATGAGGTCACGGCCCACCCTGATTTTTTTAAAAAAATTATCATATATATACAAATAAAAAGAAAACACTACAAACTTTGGATATTTTTTTTGCAATATATAAATAATTAAAATTTATTTTTTATGCTATTTTAATTAAATTAATAATATTATTTATTTATTGAGAAATATACTAGCAATTCTTATATTTTACATTTCTAGATAAGTTTTTGAAAATGTTTATAATGATTTACTCTGTCGGCCTCTTAATTGTAAATCGATTGAGTGAGTTATAAAATAGATTATTTAGTTTTATTGTATGCAATGTGCTACAAAAGTACTTCAATTTTAATCTAATTTTCAATCAAAAAAACTTATTTTTATATAAATTATAGATGTTGATCTTAAATTATAAATACATGAAATCTCCTTTTTTTTGTTGTTTATTTTTTTAAAAGTTTGAGGGTTTCTAAGTTTTTAGAAACTTGATTGTACACATATCGATATTTATATTTATAATTAAACATATTTTTATATGAAATGCGCATTCCCAACTAAAGTACAAGTTCGTTATAACATTTAGAATCTAACTCCCTAAGGAAAATTCCTAGATCCGTCAATGGTTGTAGGAGCCTTATTTAAAGGACTTCTTCTCTCGGATGTTAGGCAGTTGATTATTGAAATAAAGAATATCGTTTGAGATTGAAATCTCTTTTTTCTTGTCTCACTTGTACACTTCCCTACATCAAAATGTCCATTATTAAATAGTACTTTGGACCTTTTGTGGTAAAATTATCGCCAATGTAAACAAAATATTGTATGTGAGAGTGGATTACGTCCATTTTCTGACTTAAATCAAACTAGTGCAATACCCGTGTATTACACGGGTGTTGAATTAGAAAGTTTTTGTAAAAAATATTATTTTTTTTATTTTTTTAAAAACTAAAATAATTTAATTTTATATAAAACATTACTTTGGGTTTTAATTAAATTGTCAAATTATATTTTTTTAATCATAATAAATAAACACCAGTACATTAAATGAAAATGTCAACCCGTGTTAAATTTGTTTACTTATATCATATAATAATATCGATATTATTTACTATTACATAAGTATAAAAATATATATCTTAAGTAAATAGAAATATTATGGTGATATGTATATGCATAACTGTAGAATATGTTTACTTAATATTAATATTAATTGAAAAATACTTTTATTTTTTAATTAATTTTAATAAATAATTTTATTATTATAAAGATAAATATAATTTATTTATTTTATATATACAATACAGATGTCAAATCGAAGCTCATCAAAAGATGATTAATTTGATATATTATAAATGTAAAACCGATAAGAAATACAAAAGTTATCAACTTTTAAAATATATTTGCAATTCAATGGTTATAATAGGAAATGATATTAAAATACAATTAATATAAATATTAATTTATATCTAAGCCTAACTCCAAAGCATGATTTTTTGCCAAATAGGATTTCGAAGCATGAAAATTTACAACGTAGGCTCAGCGCATTCTGAATTTAATAATAAGCAAAATATTAATTGATAAATAATTTTATTTTCTAATTAATTTCAATAAATAATTTTATTATTATTATAAATATAAATATAATTTATTTATTTTATATATACAATATGGATATGAAAATATCAACCCGTGTTGAATTTTTTTACTTATATCATAATAATATCGATATTATTTACTATTACATAAGTACAAAAATATATATCTTAAGTAAATAGAAATATTATGGTGATATGTATATTCGTAAGTGTAGAATATGTTTATTTAATATTAGCAAAATATTAATTGATAAATAATTTTATTTTCTAATTAATTTTAATAGATAATTTTATTATTATTATAAAAATAAATATAATTTATTTATTTTATATATACAATATG